CTACTACTACTACTGCTACGACTAGTCGCACAACAACAACAACTGCTGCTGCTGCTGCTGCCGCTGCCAGTACGAGTACTGGCGGTTCATGTTTGACCGTTTGACTTATGCTTTCATTTATGGGTTTAGTGTTGCTCTGCTTGACAGTTTACGTTGCAGCTATCTTTCGACCAAGGAGTCGTTTGAGCGCTCCCAGTTGTTGTAGGGTGATTCAGATATGACAATTCAAGTTTCCGGCAAGCCTAGAAACTCATTTCAGGTAACCCACAGCTGTCAGCCCTGAAGTGCCTCAGCCTTTCTGGTTGTATGCCCTTCGACAGGGCCTTGCCTGAAGGCAAGCTGCCCTCAGAGGGTTTTTTAGGGACCCGGCCAGGGGGCTGATTAGGCCAGGGCTTCGGTGGCATTTCAGACCGGGGCGGGGGGTTGAGTCGGGGAACCCATGGACGTGTGCAGGTTATGTGAAGCACGAGTTGCACATTTTGAAGTTGCTGCCTTTCGTTTTGCGGCGTCAGTTCGGAGGCTGCTGTTGAAGATGTTTGGGCTGAGAGCTTCAAGTTCTCGCTGAGGGAGCTTGTGCTTTATCAAAGGCGCGTGCTGCCGCTCCTCACCTACACTGGCTACACCTACGAGCATCTTGACTGCTTGCCAACGAGCCGTCTGGGTCCACCCTTTTTCAATCCAAAACCCACCCCAACGAGACTCAAACTTAAATTTCAGTCGTGTGCAGTTTTGGTATCATCCGATGAGGTGCGAGGCACAATGCTAGTAGCATGCAAAAGGGGAAGCGAGGTGGCCAACTGCCAGGAAGCCAACTGCCTGGATCCTTACAAACTCTGCCAGGACTTGAAGCCCAGGCCTAGTTTGTTTTATCTACTTACCTATGTTTCTTGTGGCCAGCAGTATGTCCTGGCAAGCATGAGGCGCTTCCCTTGCAACCCAAACCCGAGACACCCTAGACCCCACAACTCAAGCTTCGGAATACTACCTCCTTCACTCTCACCGAGATCTCTGCAGCCCTGCTAAGCCATGAGAGACAACAACATGCTTATCCTGTGCTCAACCGGATTCAGCAGCCTAAAAGGCTGTGTTGTTGTTGTTGTTGTTGTTTTTGTTGTTGCTGTTTGGTGCTTGTTGTTTGTTGTTGTTGTTGCTGTTGCTGTTGTTGTTGTTGTTGTTGTTTCATCGTCCTACACAGACATGTTGAAACATATGCTCACACCTGTATGTTATTCGCCCCTGGACCCGCAAGCGATGAGTTCGTTGCGGGTTATTCTTGCCCTTCAACCTAAACTCGAAGCCACCCTCTTACCCCCAAGAGAGGGCCCTCTTGTTCACCGAAACTTAACAAGCCAAAAGCCCAAAAACCGCACAGAGAGAAAGCAGAGCAAGGAAGGTGGAGATGCTCCTGGCGCCGATGGTGAAGACGGGTGCCGAGCCTCTGGGCTCCATGGGCCAGGACCCGGCGGGCCCACCTGGGCTCCGATTCTTCGGAGATCCGGGAGGGGGGACTCTCCTTTGGTCACTTTTGGGGCCAGGGAGAGTCCAGAAAGACTCGGGGCATCTCGGGGCTCAGGGGCCTTTTGGGGGTGGAGGGGTAAAGCCCCCGGCAGGTATTTGTTGCAGCGCATCCTCTTTTAAGCGCTGTTTGAGTTTTCAGGAGAGCCGGGCCCAAGCTCGGCAACTCCTCGAATAGCTCGAGCGCGCAACCGTGGGTCAGTATCTCATATAAAGTTTTGCGACATTGGCCGTGAAGTTAGAGCGGCAAGGTGTATGGTTTCGAGGTCAACTGCCTAGCAGGTCAAGTTCGTAGTATGAAACGCATGGCCCTGCGTTGCTGTTGCTTCGAGGTCTCTTGCAATGGTCACCTCCTTCACCGTTCGACCATCCCAAATCGCAAACGGAAAAGCCTGGCAGGCACAATCTCTGACCAATCCCAAATCTCCGAGACTGTCCCAAAACTCGTAACCCCAGTGCTGTGTCACCTTCAAACTAAACTGGGTTCAGGTTGCGGGTTTGGGTCGAGGATTGGGGTCGAGGGCTCCCTGCGATCACAGCAGGATGTGGCTTTGGCTTGCATGCCTCTTGGCAGCAAGGTTAGACAGACATGGGCTATATAATGAACGGTCATCGAACCTCTTCAAGTACTGGTGCAAACACTTCGGAATTCTCGATCAGGGGGGTTGTAGTATGCTCCGAAGTGAAGGTAGCAGGGTTTTTTCTGAGGGGCACCCGCAAATCTCAGTATGCATCATAAGACGAACATGTTACGGTGCTTACGGCAAGTCGTAAGTAGGCGGGCTGTTAAGACATGGCTTTGGATAAGGCTCGGGGTACGGGGATGGTTGGAGCGATGGGTGGAATCATGTCTGGTGTTGCTTGTCATCTTAACTCCATGACTACAATCTACCCCTTCAAAAATCCGATTCTAACAACAGACGCCCCAAAACCAAACCCTCTGAAACATCTATAAGAAAGACGCCGACGAGCCTTATTCTAACGATCAATGTGCCTAGTTTTCAACCCTCCCAAGTGAGAGGTCGAGAATGCCTCGCCAGCCTTTCGACTACTTCTTCCAGCCCCTCGACAGTCGGCAGGGTCGAGGATTCGGGTTTAGGGGTTATTAAGGTTTAGAGTTTAGGATTCAGGGTCTACAGGGCTTCAGTGCTTCCGGGACCTGGTGTGGCCTGCATTTTGGGGGTTAAGGGTTTAGGGTTTGATGCGAGGCTGTGCTAATTTGACGGAGCCTGGAGGTCCGCCTAAGCCCTGAGCACCTAAGCCCCAAAGCCATCTGAAATCTAAAGCCTCAACCCCTGGAAAACCCCAAGGCCCCAAAGCCCTAAACCCCAAAACCTAGTCACTTCTGAAATCCAGAAGCCAAGGCTCTTTGCGCAGGCGACCAATCCACCCATTGACCCGATCCGCGAGGCGAGTTTGGCTCGGGTGCCGGCAGGGTGTCTTGGGGTCCTCCGCTTAGGGGCTAGAGGCTTGGGGCTTGGGTTCGGGCTTAAGGTATCTTTGCGGCGTCCGGTTGACGGTTTTGCGTTTTATGTAGAACTACAGGCCCAACATGAGCTTTATGGGTTTCGTAAATCTTCGTGGCTTTAATGAAGGTTGCAGAAGGCCGGCTTTAGCTGTTTTTCGGCAGTAAGTTCATGTAAGTTCCATAGCGTCGAAAGGATCAGGGGACTTAGCAAGCATAGGCACCGCAAGTTGGGAGTTTGGAGACGTCCGCATACATGCTCTGCTTCCTGAATATATCGAGCTTTGCAGCAAAGGAGTTAATAGGCTCACGGTCTAGAGGGTTTGGTGGGCATGTTGATTTCAGGTTTAGGGTGTCAGTCTCCTGACGGAACTTGGGGGAGGGGGTCTGCAAGGGAAGTTGCAGGGCGGCGTCGAACAAAAAGCATGCCTAGGGGACATAAAACCTGACATTCCAGAGTGACACGACACTGCGGCAGCTCTCGACCCAAGAACATTACAACTCCATTGCCCTCAGTCCGGAGCTTCAAAGGCACGAAACAGATCTGCGCAGTCATGCATGATAGAGAGGCGTTCTGGAACGAACACGGCGAACATGCATCAGCAGGGTGACCCCAGGTCGTCATTCAACACACGAACTCGAAGAGATGATCAGTCGGTTTTGACCTTTGCATCTACAAGCACTGAACGTCAACGTGCCACCTCTGCTTTTTTTAAGTGAAGCCCTGTGGATCGGATCTTCTGCTCAGCTTGCAGTCTCAAGGCTCCCAGACCCGAGAACCCAAAAAGCGGAAAGTTCTTTGGGCACCTGGCTTGCACTCATTAAGCCTTAAGAAACCAGTATATACGGCCGATCAGACATTCCGAATCCTTACGGGGCTTGACCTTTAGAGAACCTAACTAGCACACAGAGACTCTGCAAAGGCACAAGCCATTTCACGATCGTAGATGAATCACCAAAGGACCGTGTAAAAGCGCTTGAGCGCTTACACATTAGCCCCTTCAATCCGATCCCTAAACTCCGAGAACCCCTTGAGGCCAACGTGATGTCCTTGACCTGCCCCGTGGGTCCGGAGAGGGGACTGCTGCAGCCTTCCCCCGAGGCTCAAAACCCAAAAGAGTAGAACTGGTTCTGGTGCTCTTCGGACTCACGAGAGTTTGGAGAGTCTTGCAGTTCAGGGCGTAGGGTTCTTAAGTCTAAACAGTATGCATTATGCTGCTATTGCTATCGTAGTAAGCGTAGTAAGATCGCATGGCATCCTTTCAGTCCTGGTAGCTTTCTACTCTAGCATACTTCGAAACCCTGAGCCTGCCTCGGCCCACGCTGGGGCTGGGACCCTTAGGGCACATGCCTCATCGTATCCCGGAAGTGCCGAAGAGTCCCGCAGAGAATGCCCTGTGCACGAATTTTATGGGGGGATACTTATAACGGGCTTTTTTACGGATCTTGCAGGGGTTTGAAGGTATTTAGTTGGCGAGCCAAGGTTGATACAATCTGATATGGACAGCCTGACGAAAGTCTTTTAAAGGAATGGGCTTCTGGGCTTTCTTCTCGCATTTTATTACAGACTTAGACTCGTTCGAAGCCCCAGACCCTCAAGGTATTCAGGTTGCACACCGGCATGCCCTGAATCTAATGCCTGAGAGGCCTGCCGACGCGTGTTCCTCGACTCCCCGATCCTCTGCCCGCGCCGCTACAATGCCTTGTTTGGGCTTGAGGCCTCGGGCCTTGCTGGTGTTGTGGGCTAGGGCCCAAACCGCCCTATCCTTGAGGGGCTCAGGGCTTGTTGCCATGCAGTCGAACGCTTGTGTCCTTCTTCGCCTACTGTAGCCAGCAAGTAGTCAGCTTGCGCTTCGACTTCGGCGAAGTGCATTTTGCAAGTTTGTGGCCGTGCCAATGTGTGTATTCAATCGTTCGCGCAGGCTGACTTCTTGTTAGGTTTCCTTTGATCACTCTTTAAGTTTGGTTGTGAGGTCTCTGCAAAATTCAGGTCTAGCCAGTGAAATGAGATGTGCCTTGGGTAAGACATGCTGGACACGAGTGCTTGCCAAGGTTGCTCCTACTCGTAGAATCAACACCTCGCCGTCGTAGTCGACATCCCTGAAGAAAGACCTTTTCGTAAGGTTCAGGCCTTCGTGTTTCGGGGAGCTTCGTCTGGCCTGCAGTGTGTCCGGCTCTTCTTCGATGCCGTACGTCCGGAGGTTCTGATGGCACCATACTGGGTTCTTACAGCACCTGGCCTCAAAGACCGAGCCCTAAATCCAAGGCAACCGTTAGTTTGAAGAGCCCCCAACCCCGTCCCCCCCCCCCCCTTATTCTGAATCCAAGCTTTTCCGCTGCGCAAACCCTCCGAAGCTCTTCAACGCATGCAACAGCCTGCCAAGCCTGCACGAAGGCTGCAGGGCTTGGAGGTCCGAGGCATGGAAACCGCAAGCCTCAAAGCAGTCCCATGACCCTCGTGGCAGCACCCGCATACAAAGAAGTGATACACATAGAGTTCGTTCTACCAATGCATGAAAGTAGCCGGACCGACAGCTCTTGAAAGAGAATCCATCGCCTTCTGGCTGTGCTTGGAGAGGAGGCCCGAACTCGGTGCCCGAAAGTGTTCTTATATCTTGTACCCTGGAGCCCTAAACCGCGTAAGCCAGAAAACCACCACTAGGGACTAGGGCGGCGGGAAAGGGATTCAAGGCTGTGATTTTTCATCTGTGGAGGCCGATGGTATGCCTGCCGTGGTTCTGGACATGACCTACGGCCTCAGTGACACTTGCCTGTCCGTGCTTCCCTGGCGAGTTCTTGCGGCTTTTAGGGTTGATTTTCTAGAGCAGCAGTGTGCTGTCAGGACTCGCAAGCGGTTCCCATACTTGGCTTCTTTCGATCTGAGTTATCAGTCGACCCGGCTTGGATGCGGACGCAGTTTGTAGTTCCGACAGGCCAAACGGTTCAAAGTCGAAGAGCATGTTGGGAACCCTAATCCATCGCAGAGGCTCATTAAAAATTAGAGCAATTGCAAACAAGCAGCTAAGCGACCACTCGATCCCATGGTCATGGACACAGGTCATTCCCACGAAACCTGTAATCAAACAGCGCCCCAATCAGAAGAACTGCAGAACTGCCGCAACGGGCCTCAATCGAAAAAGCAGTTCAAGACTTGGCCGAAACGGGTTGCAGCAGCGAAAGCTCAGGAGACAAAGTCGCGTGCCCGGCAAGCCGACCGCGCGACCCGAGGAAACAATTTGCTGAAGGAGCGGAGCACTCTTGGCGGTCACAGGAAAAAGACTAGTAATGTGTAGTCACAGGAAAAAGACTAGTAATAGTACGAAGAGTATGTGTAGTCACAGGAAAAGACTAGTAATAGTACGAAGAGTATGTGTAGTCACAGGAGAAAAAGACTCGTAAACTAGTACGAAGAGTATGTGTAGTCACAGGAAGAAGACTGGTAGGAATAGTACCAGTAGTATGTGTAGCAAGAAGTAGTACGCGCGGTAGACTCACAAGTAACACTTTCGTAGCAGCAGCATTGGCAGTAGCAGCAACTATTCTGTGAGACCCTAGACAAACCCTCAACCTTCCGTCCAGCCTCGTGGTAACCTATCATAAGCCTTTTTCCATAGTACAGAACCTTGACTAGGGGTTCCCTGTTACAATTACAAACAACATTAATTATCGTGTACTCTACCCCCCCCCATTGCACTGAAACACAGCCCCTTGAAATCAAAGCTCCCCTCGCCTGGAGGAGCGGTTGGACCAGATTTGCAAGGAAGCCGAGGCGGCGATTCTCGGCGATGGCGCGGCCATCCTCGTTGCTTGATCAGCAGTCCTCTAAGGGTTCTGTACTTCTGCCGGGTGCATGCGGTTTAGGGATGTTTAGGGTTTAGGGGTTTAGGATTCAGGGCTTCGGCGCCCTGAAGGGTTTGAACATGGTTCCGGGTTTCTGGATTGGGTCTGTTGACATTACGGTCTACGTTCAAAACGCCAGACCGGATTCAACCAGCGCCCTTCAGAGACCGCAGCCCCGATCCACGGAACCAAGATCTCTCAAAACTCTGATAAACTCAGGGTTCAGGGTTTAGGGTCATGTTTAGGGCATCTCCCCAGGTTCTGTCGCACCGCCGCGCCAGTCAGAGTCGTGTGCCCGTCAGCTCCTTGCTGGCCGTGGGCGCAGTCCACCAGGTAGCGCTGCGGGGTCGTTGGAAAATCACGTTTTATCATCTATACAGCAGTGCATAGCCTCCTGCCGACTTTTGCTTTGAGTTCCACTGGGTCTTCATGACCCATTATCAAGAGCTATGAGGCTTTTGCTAAAGTTGTGGGGGGGTCCCATGGACCCGAAACGCCCTAAACCCATTGTGGGTCAGCAGAACAGGGAAATTTCTTGTTTGCTACCTATTTCATGAATACAATGTTCCTTAACACCCTAAAGACACCCCATACATCTCTTCAGAGAAACTCTAATCTGAGGGTGATTGAATCTAGAGCTTGAATTATATATCACCTGGCTCTGAGCAGCCAGGACCTCATTGCCAAGAAGCTTCGAGCCAAGGCGCGGAGAAATAGTGTGAGTCCTTTTTTTTAGTCATGGGTGGACGCAGGATTCTTACGAAAAGCACGGCGCGCTTGATGGCCATACTCCAAGAGCCTCAAGCCACAACCAAAGAACATTTGCAATGACGGCACCCGTACGATCATAAGCTGCGGGAAGAGAAGGTGGCCCTGGTGGTGGAAGGGGCGGATGCCCACGTGCCTCGGCAGCGATTTCAGGGTTGGGGCTTGGGGCCTCAGGGTCAGGGTGTTGGGTAAAGTTTAGGGTTTAGGAGCTATAGGGGTAAGGAGTTTCGGTGTTGGGTCTAGGGTGATTTTCAGAAGCCGAGCCCCACGCAGCCTTCGGGTTCACGAGTTCCTGGGCAAGATTTGCCAAAGATGGACATGTGGTCCCCCGTCTGGCGGGCAAGAGCTGGACTCTATGGCAGTGGTAGTTCTCGAAACTGTGGTCCCTCTTGGGACTTACGAGAAGGATCCTGCAAGGAATGCTAACGTAGAGAATGAACCCCTGCATAGCAATGAGCGATTTAGGACACTGAGTCTGACAGGCCATGTAGAACAACACGCGCCGCGGTTACAAGTAAGGTCATTCTAAACCCGAAGCCCAATCCCGAAAGCCTCAAAGCGGAGCCGCAGGAGATCCACCACTTCTGCTGCCTCCTGGGATTCGGCTGTGATGCGATCTACCCTTACCTCTGCCCCTCGGCCGATGTTAGGACTCCAGGACTTTGGACTTAGGGCTCATGCTCTCACAGATCTCGTGGCCGAGCCGCCAATAGCCGGGGATCCCAGAACCGTCTACATCAAAATACATCAAAGCCTGAAGCTGACAATAAATCCAACGTCCATCTTGAGTACACGCTAGGCTACCTCAGCCTGCTACGTGTCCGGGGCACCGACCTCCCGCCCCTCGCTCAGCTGTCTTGAAAGTTGAAGATCTGGGGTATAAGTGTTTGGGGATGTCGGGCGTTGGGATTCACTTTCGGTTTTAAGGATCCGACCTTGAAGTTAATCCCTCAGGCTGGATGACCGCGTCCTCCAATTCCGGTTTGTTGTAGTCTGCCCGAGGTCAAAGCTCCTCAAGTCAAAAGCGCTTTGAGGCAATGAAGGCCACGCAGGCTCCAAGGCTTGTTCCCCAGAGCCCCAAAGGCTCCGAGCCTAACGCATCCTTTAAACAGCTTGGGGGCTGCGTGGGATGTGGGGTCAGATATGAGAACCTCGACCCCTGAAGTCAAGCTGGACGAAAGCTCCGAAATCGTGGGTCCGTTTTTGTAAAACGTGTCTACAATGAGTATGACTCGCACTGGGTAGTATCTTCTTACATGTCGGCACTGTGTTATGTGATGGTTGTGTAAACGTCACGCCCCAGGCACTGAGCCGGTGTTGCCCTGGGCCAGACGTAGACCCTGAACCTAACAGTATAATGTATATAGTCTACCACGATACCACTAAAATATACTTGATATAGCCCCCGGCCCGTAAGGTGCGGAAGCGGAATCGTGCGTTAAGCAAAGCAGCCCAAGGTGGGCTTCGGATTTGGGCGTACCTGAGCCCCAAGCCCTGGAACCGACACCCCCTTACAGAACTCCTTTTGGAAACCGTTAATTCAGGAGGTCTCATACAGCACGCTCAAGTTTTTCAGAGCCCGACGAGGCTGAACCAGCGCATCGAGAACTTCCGAAAGGCCTCCGACGGAGGCCCGAAATCTTTGGTTTCTAAGGCTGTTCAATTCCAAGGGCTGTCGAGGTGAGGCTCTAGGGGATTGTCTATGGTTGAGGCACTTCGGCTTGAAAGGTTGCTTTAATTGAAGACTTCTCGTTTGCAGGCTGCGGAGCTGAGGTTTCAGATTTTTCAGCTTCGACTTGTGAGGGGGTTGTGGAAGGGTGGGTCTGCCTGCTTTGTTTGAGACATATGCAAAGTTCTGGTGCAAAGGCTGCGATCCTGCTTACCTGCGCCCTAAACCCTGAATCCCCCAGCAATCCCTGTTCCTTTCTGCGAACTGAGTGTCAGGCGCAAGATCCTTTATAAAACAATTCTGAACTAATGACCGCTGTGAAGGAATGCCGAAAAGAGCCCCTGGCCTGAGGCATCCTTATAAAGGAGCCCTTTCAAAGGAAGCACCCTTCTCTAAAGGAAACCCCCTCCCCCTTCCCCCCTCTGTGAGGCATCCTGAAGGTCATGAGCAAGATGGGGATCTCCTGCCTGCAGAGCTACAAAGGCGCTCAGCTCTTCCAGGCCGTGGGCATGGACAAGGCCAGGGGGGGGGGGGGGGGGGG